AAAAAGGTTCAGTATGGTATCAGTCAAATGAATATATTTCTCCTTCACTGTTCTTTTGTTTTAAAAGTCTTTTTTACGTACGCTAATAACCTGAGTGTTGCGATTCCGTCCAAAACCTTCTCCTCCCGGGTCTCCTTTAGCTTCCTTTCAGCGCTTCAGTCTCCGTCGGTAAAGTCGAATCTAAATAGTTTGTTTTACTTTCTCATATACTTTTCAATGCTTGATTCGTTTTAAGTTGTAACTGAGATATATTTTGTTGCTCAAAGAACAAAACAATTGTGTACGCAGACGAGTAACTCAAGCGCCGATTGTCGGCTCTCGTGTGTGTGGTTGTATATGAAATCCACAAATACATAGCTAGTTCTGCAGTTCAAAGCCTCACTTATCTCAGTCGCTGCGCTGTAGGACGTACGTGAGGTTGATTATTCGTTTAGAAAGCTCTCTATTTCGAGGACGAAGAAAACTCAATGCGTATAATTTGCCGTATAATTATCTCACCTACAGTAGTTTCCATTATTTTGGTCTGGGACATCTGGGGCTCGTTTGAATTGACTAGTCAGATGTCTCCCAGCTTATTTCAACGATTTGTGTCTTATCGACCTTGAAAATATCGAGCTTCGCACTAGAAGCTATGGTTTTTACAGAAGCGGCGAACCTGAGATCGAAGAACTGCTCGATGTCCGACTTCGCACAGGTCTGCACACTGCTTTCGGCTTTTTCTCGCTTCTGGACGAGTGTCATTGGGATATAGGTATTGAATGAAGAGGATTGCTCTTTCTTAAGCATGCTGTACTGCGAATCCCTCCAAAAACACATCTTCCTTGTATTCTGCAACGATTTTGAATCACACTAGTGCATGTTGGCATACATTCTTCTTAGAAGCAAATCATTGTTGGTCCTTCGATGACGTCAGAGGCCAACTCGCCCCATCCTTCGCTGTTGCTCGGTCATGGCCACGAAAAGGGCTAATTTTACGGACTTCAAAAATTCATAGGAAATTAACGAAAATAGCTACAACGATAATTTTTTCGCAGTGGTGATTAAAAAAATGAGGAGATTTAAATAAGCGAAAAAAAAAAAAAAATTGGGGGTTAGTTGCACTTTAACATAAATTTAAGAGCAATGTTGTTGGGTGCTCCAAAAAAATGGTTAACCGTAAATAAACCTACTGTATTGAAATAGGTCATGCCCGTGGCAGCAAATGATTCCGCCAGTTCAGGTGTGGTAACGACAAGCGCAATCGGGAAGCCATTGCCCATAGGCTTACCGAGGGATACAATGTCCGGAACAACACCTAGGAAGACGCACAGTTATGATCTGGCATACTCTAGCATGCAGGCAGGTACTGGATTAAACTCAGCATGTTTAAACATGGCTTTATATGCTGTCTGGCTTTACAATACACTGATCTGCAAAGCAAGACTGTTTGCAAACTACTTCTCGTCTGCGACAGGATTCTAGTATTCAGGATACACTTCTCCACTTGCGTATTGCCAAGTTAATAATAATAATAATAATAATAATAATAATAATAATAATAATAATAACAATAATAATAATAATCACTTTATTTAAGTGTCGATGTATTTAGCAATTATGTGCTAATTGGGGACACTGTAAATAAATAAACAAATATTTCAAATATAACATAAACTATTAAGAATCCCAACTGGTGGGAGGCTGACCAGTTGGCTATTTACACAATGTGGCCGAGGAGTTGAACTTGGGGCTACCGAGAACAAATCCAGATAGCAGTAGGGCAAAGGATTTGAACCAGGGACCTCCAGATTTCAAATCCAGCGCCCTAAACCACTCGGCCACACCACCTCCGCTAAGTTACCCCCTGGCAACATTTGACACTACCAATGTAGTACACCTGGAAGGAAAGATGCCCTAGTGCAGTGACCGAATAAAGTGCCTTGTCAAAGAACACTGTGCAAAAGGACCTGAATCAACCTAATGCCTGGTCACCTTCAGCATCATATCCATGGCTACTACACAGTAGATATCATAGCCTGTTCCAGGCTCTCAGTGGTTGGGGACGAGCACAAAAAAAAAAAACAGAGGTCCAAGTGTGCCACCATTTGTCAAGTATGGTACCAACACATTAAAAGATTAAGTCTGCACATGGCCTGTCAAGGGTTTCATTAAGGGCCGGGCACCGGGCAAATTGACCACCTGTGAGGAAGATTTTGCCCACCTGCTTTGACCTTCTAGTAGGAAGGTTTTCTTATGAAGAAGTTCAATTCAAATAGTTTTGCCCGACTGTGAAAACCAGTTGCCCTCCTGCTTAAAGCATTAATGAAACCCCTGTGAACTCAGTGGCCAATCAGGCCAGCACTTATTTCTGGTTTCCATGGGATGAAGGAACTAGGAGTGTTATTACTCCTCTCTGGATGGGAGCGGAATGCTTAAGTCCATGGCAGGAATATATACCCCCGCTAATTAGCTGTTACCCATTTATTCCCCTGGGTGGGGAGGCACTGTGAGAGTAAAGTGTCTTGCCCAAGAACACAACACAGAACCTGGACCATTTGATCTGGTGTCCAGTGTACTAGCCATTCAGCCACCATGCCCCCCACAACAGTTACACCATACAATGTGAGAAATGATGTTTGCATAAAGTATTCTTATGCTGGAATAGAGAGGTGAAAAGCACACTTCTCTAAGTGCCTAAAACTGAGGATGCAATTTAATGCCACAGGCATTTTAATCTTGTCAAAACATACAAGTATACTATTTGTTCATATACACACAAAATAAACAACAACAAAACTAATATCAATTAACAAATCAAGAAATATAAGATTATAACATACTTTATTACAGTTACTATGCGCATTGTGATTAGTCAAATTAGCAGGCCGTATTCTACTGTACAGCCTGCTAAAATTTAAAGCTGATTTTGTTTCCAGAATGTTTTGTGATTTATTGCCAAGTGTTCTTAACTTTCATAGCAAGTAAAAGTTTAATGATTTCATATTGACTTGTTTTACTTTTGACGTGTGTCAGAAATTTTAAGCTGTTCCACGTGAATAGCAATTGTTCCCAAACCTGTCAGACAATAGAGATATAATACGTAATGCTGACACTCGTAAACCCGAGGAGGGTGTCTAGAAGTTGTGACTGTTAGCACATGACGTCGTTTTCAATCTGACAGTAATGACTGTAGGAAATGAGTAGTCTCTCTTTTACTCATACCTGCCTCCTACAATCAGAGACTTGTCAAAATCCATTTGTTACATGCAAATTTGCAACTTCAGAACAGCTTGTAATATTATTGCTCAATCCACAGGAATTGTTATTTCAATCATACCCATTGCTAATTAAGTATATTTTACTGTCCCAATTAGAACATCTTCATCAATGAAAGAACTTCTAATGTCTTCAATGTTTGATCCACTTACCTTGGGATTCAAATGCCCAGAAGTGCTTTCCAGCTCGTCCAAATCCAACTTGCACTTCATCAGCAATACACACCCCTCCTGCTTCTCGAACATACCTTATAGTAATCAGTAAGCAAGTTAGATTATTTTCACCAGAGTGCAGATAAGTTTTTATGTACGGTATAAACAAATTCACACATGTCACATGTCTGGTACCCCAAATTCTGTTTTCTATTCATAGAAACATTACTACGACTACGCATTTTGGTTATTAACAGGGCTCCAAGAAATACAAAGAATGAAATGATCGAACCTTGGAACAACTTAAAATCACCAACAATTTGTGGAGGCAAAGAATCATATTTACAGTCAAATTTGTATTTGAATGTTCAGTTTAAATGTGAAATGGTAAAATTTGAAAATTTTTGAGAATCATTAAATAAACTGTTAGTCTTTCACCATAGAAAATGCCACATAATAAGGATAATTTTCAGGGGATTATTTTCAGAGCTGTAACATTCATTACAAAATGAAGAATTTGACCATAACTTGGGAATATAGCTTGTTTGGACTCTGTTCAAGGAAGCTCTAACCAGGAGGATTAAAAACATTGTAGAACTGATGCTTACTTGTAGACTTCTTTCAAGTAGTTTGGAGGGTAAACAATCTGTCCACCACAGCCCTGCATTGATTCACTGATGAAAGCTGCAATCTACAGGAATAAAATACCATCATTTAACAACTGCCTTGCAAAGTGGAGGTTGGGTGCCCGAGGCATCCAGAAGCTTCCACTATTGGCAGCGAGCTTCTAGATAGAGACCACTCCTGTGGCTAGCAAATCCTGGCAACCCAGCCAGAAGCCCCCATGCGGAAGGGCGGAAGGGAGAAAGCAGGCACCTGTCACACTGATAAAACAGTGGAAAGAGAAGGGAG